GCAACCCTCAGAAGGAAGGTCCCCAGGTTGTCTCTTGGGTAACTTGGACAGCAGGAAGTGCAACTCTGCATTGCCTGGTTGTTTCTGAAGTGTTCGATGTGCACGCAACCACTTCTGATCCAACTGGCAGGAAACAGGATGTGTTAAATAGAGTTAATTCTATGTACTTTTTTCATTGTAATAGAATCAAAATGTAGAAAATGAAGGTAGTAGAAAGAGGGAGACATCACCCATGCACTCTCCACGGGGATACAGTCATGAGCAAAGCAGCCGGCTCCTCTGCTCTCCAGAGCTCCTTCCTGGTAGAAGGAGAGAGAAAATAAACCAAGAGCTAATATACAAGAGCTCAGGACTCCCTGGAACTAGGGCAATGAGGGGCGGAGTGTGACTTTACGTAGGTAGGTGACGGAGAAGGCCTCCTGGATGAAGGGTTGCGTGATGAGCCCTGAAAGAAGTGAGGGGCATCTATGTGAGCATCGGGCAGAGCAATCCAGGCAGAAGGGAGGCTCAGGCAAAGGTCCGGGGGCAGGAGCACACCTGGAGTCTGGAGGGACAATCGCAGGCCACTATGGCTGGAGCTGGTGAGTGAGGAGAGAGCAGGGGGAGACAGGGACCTGGGGGCGTGAGGCTGGATCAGGTATGGCGGTGCTGCCCAAACGTGAATGTGCACGCAGGTTCCCTTGGGGCCTTGTTAAAATGCAGATTCTGATGTAGCAGGTCTGAGACGGGGCCTGACATTCTGCATTTCTACAAAGTGCCCAGGCGATGCCAATGCTGCTGGCCCATCCACCGCCACACTATAAGTAGTGAGGGTGTGGCCTTGTGGGCCAGGGTAAGGATTGGCCTTGACTTTGAGGGAACTGGAGAGCCTTTTATTGCTCCAAGTCACACAGCAACTTCATCTGACCTGTGTTTCAGAGGGACTGCACTGGCTGTTGCTTAGGCTGCAGAGGGCGAGAAGGCAAGCGATTAGAAGCTTGCCAAATAATCCAGAAAAGAGATGTGGTTTGACTGGGGAAGGGAGAGGGTGGTGATGAGGAAAGAGTCCCTTGCTTCAGATGTTCTGAAGGCGGGCCTCCAGGATTTGCTGGCAGATTGCATGTGGGGTGTGAGAAGAGGCGTCTAGGGTGACAAAGGTATACATTCAAGGAAGAAAATAGTGTTTCCATTGACTGACATGGAAGAACCCCCAGGACACGATATTTGAGATGTGAGTTCGACATTTGAATACAGGGCTGAAATTTGGAGGCGAGATCCAGGCTAGAAAACTCAATTTCAGAGTCAGAGTGTCAATAGAAAAAGCCAAACTCTGTAAAATAATTTTAAAGAGATTTATTGTGAGCCATATTTGAGGACCATGAGCCAGAGCCACTCCCAAGAGGCCTTGAGCAAGTGGATTCGCTGTGTTTGGGTTACAGTTTGGTTGTATACATTTCAGGGAGACAGGGGTTACAGGTAAAGTCATAAATCAATGTGTGGAAGGCATACATTGGTTTGGCCCCATAAGGTGGGCCATCTCAAAGGGGAGGGGGTGCTTGCTTACAGGTTATATAGGTGGGTTTAAATATTCTTTGGCTTGTAATTGGTTAAAGACATGAAGCTTTGTCTAAAGGCTTGGAATGTTTTAACATAAAGAGCTGTTTACCAGAGACAAGCCACTGGACACAGATTTGTTGTGTAAGTTGAGGACCTGCAGGTTTGTCTTGCATACCTTAGGCCTGTTAATGGTTACAAAGTATGTTTCTAAGAATGGAGAGGGCCATAAAGCATGTCTGACCTCCCTCCTCCTGGCAGACAATTTTTTTAGGATATTCCTTTGGCCACGAAGGGGTCCAGTCAGCTGGTGGGGGGTGAGCCTTAAACTTTTATTTTAGTTTACAGAGAATAGAGAGCTGGCTGTAATCTCATAAGGGGTAGAAGAGGGAGGTTTCAGGACTGAGCCCTTGGACACTGTTACTCTTGTAACAGTGCAAGAATACGGTAAGAGTGCAAGAGTACAAGCATACGGACAGCTCCCAGTAAAGGGGGCTGAGAGGCAGAGGCCAGTGAGGCACAGGAGAGATGTGCATGTTTTTGTTCCAGTTATTTTATCCGTTACCTACTGCTGACAAACCATCCCAACAGTTAGTGGCTTAAACACCAGTTATTTCTTCTCATGATTCTGAGTTGACAGGGGTTCTTTTGCACCCTGAGTGTTGTCTGGGATCATTCATGGGGCTGCCTTGCTGTAGGGAGAACACCCACCACAGCCTCACTCCTGTCTGGGACTTGGCCCTGGCTGTGGGCTCAGGTAGCTCAGTTCTCTTTGTGGGTCTCTCCTTTGTGAACTAAAATAAAATGTTAAGGCTCACCGCACCCCCCCCCACCAGCTGACTAAATGGACCCCCTGGTGACCAAAGGAATATCCTAAAACTAAATTCCCTGCCAGGAGGAAGGAGGTCAGACATGCTTTATCATGTCCGCCTCGCTTCTTGGGGACTTCTTTTGTAACCCATTAATAGGCCTAAGGTATGCAAGACAAACCTGCAAGTCCCCAATTTACACAACAAATCTATGTCCAGTGGCTTATTTCTGATAACAGTTTCTTATGTTGAAACATTCCAAGCTTTTAGACAAAGCTTCATGTTTTTAATCAATTACAAGTCAAAGAATCTTTAAACCCACCTATAACCAACCTGTAAGCCCCCCACTTTGTGATGGCCCACCTTATGGGGCCAAACCAATGTATGCCTTCCACACATTGATTTATGACTTTACCTGTAACCCCTGTCTCCCTGAAATGTATACAACCAAACTGTAACCCAAACACAGCGAATCCACTTGCTCAAGGCCTCTTGGGAGTGGCTCCGGGTCATGGTCCTCAAATTTGGCTCAGAATAAATCTCTTTAAAATTATTTTACAGAGTTTGGCTTTTTTTTCCCGTTGACACCTTACAGAAAGCTAGCCCGGCTTCCACACAGCGTGGCAGCTGGGTTCCAAGAGAGAAGGAGCTGGAGCACTGGGGCCTCCCAGGGCCCAGACCCGGAACTGTCAGGGCAGCCCTTCTGCCAGGTTCTCTGCCCAAGCGGTAAGGCCAGCCAGGTTCCTCCTCTTGGTGGAGCCGCGGCACCGCATGTACAGGAGGGTCCAATGTTGGTGGCCATCTTTGGGAATACTTGCCACAGGATCTTTCTCTATTTACAATTTTATATATGCTATTAAAAATGGGAATTTAGGCCAAATGGTGAACTTAGGTGCACTGGGTACTAGTCCGCTCCCCTTTAGCCAACGGTCAGCTCTTTAGTAAGTCCTTCCATCTGTTTGGGCTCAGTTTCCTCATTTGTTCTACTAGGAGGCTGACAATTGGCAGAGGTTGATAGCACTAGATAACTGTTAAATTAGAAGATGCAGGCCGGGCGCTGTGGCTCACGCCTGTAATCCTAGCTCTTGGGAGGCCGAGGCAGGCGGATTGCTCAAGGTCAGGAGTTCAAAACCAGCCTGAGCAAGAGCGAGACCCCGTCTCTACTATAAATAGAAAGAAATTAATTGGCCAACTGATATATATATAAAAATTAGCCGGGCATGGTGGCGCATGCCTGTAGTCCCAGCTACTCGGGAGGCTGAGGCAGAAGGATCACTCAAGCCCAGGAGATTGAGGTTGCTGTGAGCTAGGCTGACGCCACGGCACTCACTCTAGCCTGGACAAAAAAAAAAAAAAAAAAAGAAGATGCAGGTGAGTGCTTGGCCCTGATCAGGGCACATATAGGGCTGGCGATTGTCACTGTTTTTCCAGCCTCACAATCTTCCATTCTCTGGCAGGAAGCAGCATTCCACACCTGTGGGGGGCCGGTCAGCTGGCCCAGGCTGGGGCTCCTCCGGAGGGGAAGGGAGGCTCTTTCTTTCTGCACACCTGACATCTAGCAAAAAGGAAAGCTCTTTCCCATGCAAAGAACTCAACAAACCAGTTTTCTAAAATCTCTCTTCCTCTGTGTTTACTTTATCATGTGTTTACTTCTTGGGTGTTGAAATATTTAAGTACCTGGTAGAGAGCAGTTTCATATCGGTTTCCTTTTATCCTTCCTGACTCCACAACAGCAAAAACACCATTTCCATCATTGAACTTATTATGCACCGACTCAGGAGCAGACGTTTTTATAATTACCGAATGTATGCTTTATGGCACCTCCAGGGAAAGAAGCATTATTCCAGTTTTCCAAAAAAGGAAAATGAAGCACAGAGAAGTTAAGGAACTTGCCCAGAACTAGAAATGCCAGGGTTTGAACCCAGGTCACAGAAGCTGGAGCAATTGGAGAAAGTCCACGTCACCCCAAATCAACCAAGTTTAGAGGCAACGTTTGCTTCCCTGATAAACTGTCCCCCTGTGGACGCAGGCCTCCACAGCCTCTGGCTTGAGGTCCCCCCCAACCCCCTCCGCCAGCCCATTGAGCTTGCGGTAGGGGGCACAGGCCAGCAGAGCTGGCAGGGGGTGGGGTGGGGTGACTTTGCTCTCAGTAGCGTGTAAAGGGATTAAAACCTTGGCTTCAGCCTCTGAGATGCTGAGCCGACCTCTGGCCCTCAGACCCATCTGTGCGCTTGGCTCCACCAGTCTCTTACGTTCCGTGTCGGCTCCTTCCCATCCCAGAGGGGCCTGCGCCCCAGGCCCTGAGCCCGCGTCCCAGGACGCCTGTGCCTCTGCTCTTGCCAGCTTGGCGCAGCTGTGGGGGCTTGAAGAAGAGCGCACAAACTGAAACCAAAACAGCCCGACGCCAAGGAGCGCCAGGGCGGGAACGCAGAGCAGCAGAGCGCGTCACGGCCCCGCCAAGGCCCGGGACCCCGCTCTCCCCGCGCCTCCGCTCTCCCCGCGCTCCCTTGCGCCCCTTCCCCAGGAAGTTCCCCTCTTCCTTCGCGGTCCCCTACTCCACGGCGGGAGAAGAAGGGGTGGGGACGGGGCGGGCTCCAGACCGGGAAGGGGCCCCAGGGCAGTGGGTGGTGGCCGGAGGGCGGAGCGGGGGCGGGGCCCGCAGATACTGGAAGGGGCGCCCCCCTCTCGCTGCACAGGTTGGGGACGCACAGACTGCCTTGGGGCGTCGGGCTAGATGGCGGTGCGCAGTCTGGGCCGCGGCGTCGGGCGGCTGCTGGGCAGCCTACGCGGGCGCTCGGGGCAGCCGGTGCGGCTGCTGCGTGGGATGGGCGCGCCTCGCCGGGGGGCCTCGGGGCTCTCGGGCAGCGCCCCCGCCGCGGCCGCCGCGCAGCCCGGCTTGTACCCCGCGCTGAGAGCGCAGGCAGCCCAGGAGCCGGCCGCCTTCTGGGGGCCCCTGGCGCGGGACACACTCGTGTGGGACACCCCCTACCACACCGTCTGGGACTGCGACTTCAGCAATGGCAAGATCGGCTGGTTCCTGGGAGGCCAGTTAAACGTGTCTGGTGAGTGGGCTTCGGGGCATCCAGGACGCCCCCAACTCACGCGTCCTGAGGGGGCTCAAATGAGGGGACTCGAAAGAGTCTCCCGCCGGCGGCAGCCGTCCCGGCCAGGCTGATCACAGCAGCGTCTTGGCAGAGCCCTGTAGGACCCCCTCCTGCAGTATTCTGCACCACCGTCTCTAAACCGAGGCTCCAAGTCACTACCGACACGCACCCACCGGACCCCAGAGGCGCCAGCCCCCGGCCTGCTGCACTCTGGCGCCCCGCGCGCACGTCCCCGGCTCGGGCCGGCGCCTGCAGAGACCCGGCGGCAGTTTGCGATGCCCGGTTGCTGGCCTTGCCTCAACGCCGCCCCTCGGCTTGCTGTCTCCAAAGTTTAATTACGGGGTGCACAGCGCCGCGGGGCGCCAGCCTGCGGGGATTAGCGGGCGACGCCCGAGAGCCCAGGAGTCGGGACTTTCCCATGCGGGTACCGGGGCTGGAGGGGAAAACCGAAAGCGGGTGGCGGTTGTCACTGCCAGCTGCTCTGCCCGGGGATCCGCCTGGGGACAAACCCACGTAAACAAAAGGAGTTGTGGCGGGTGGCTTGGGGAGGAGAAAATCCGGCCCAGCAGCTGGAATCCGTGACCTCCTTGCTGTTGGGGCTTGCGCTCTTGCGCTCGGGAAGGAAGTAACAGCAGGCCTCCTGTTCTCGCAGCCTCAGGGAGCTGCCCCAGGACGCGCGGCCCGCTTTAGGCTGCTGGGGCTGGAGACGCCTGGAAACCTGGCCCGGCAGCAGGCCAACCGTCAGGAATCTGCTGAGCCTGAATGCGCTGCTGTTCAGTTACGATTTGGGGTTGGGGGACTTACCCTGAGCCCTGGCCCCAATCTAAGTAAAGTGCTGACGAGGCGGCAGTGGGGAAGGCCAGGAACTGCAGGCGGCGGCCAAGGTCGGGGTGGGCTCGGGGAGGGGCCTAGCAGCCTGGGCGGATCCGAGGGGCTGTGGTCTGGGAGGTCACCACCGGTTCGGGAGAGTTTGGAGATTGTTTAAGAAAAGGACCTGAAGGGCTTCACTCAGCGTTATGCCCCTTCCCAAGGCCGGAGCTTGGAGGTGGCCTCTCTGTGACACCCTGTCCGTTGTCCTGGGTACTCTCCTCTCTGAGCCTCAGTCTCCTCATTTTTAAACTGGAGCAATTACTCCCGGCAGGCGGCGGAGGACGGTGCTGGGAGGCACGGAGCCGGCTCAGCACTAATTAGTGATCAATAAGCATTAGCAGTTTTAGTTCGTTACCTTCAGAAATGCCATAAAATTATAGGCAATATCTTGTAGTTGTTTTTCAAACAAAGAAACTTAAAGGAACTTTGGACCAATTTTTTTTTTGTATTGTATATCACTTTGCTGGTTTAATTAAAATGAGTCACTTGCTAGACGTGTTTTCTTTAAAATTGAGTCGGCAGCAAGTGTCCTTGAACTAGTTGGAAAAAAAAACCCAAACTCTCCATCTGCAGAGTTGGTGGAATGTGCCCTTGAATGGGACTAGCGCAGCTTGCTAGAGGACAGAGACAGAAAGTGTGCGGCTCCTTTGGGAGGGGCCAAGGCCATAGCTGGCTGGCTGCAGAGTTGCAGCTTCACAGTCAGATAAGATGGTGGGGCGGGCCTCCCGGGGCACACAGCGAGGACCTTGTGGGCCTCACGAGATGAGGGCTGGGGTGTGCTCAGCAAGCAGTTCTTCTGCCTCCTTTCCCTTCACTCATTGCTCCTGAAGATTCGGCCTTATGTCTACCTTAGCCAGAAAATGAGCTTCCGAAAACTGACTTGTAGAAAAGGAGCTTTCAGCAGCTTCCCCAACCTGAGTGTGCATGCCCCCCACCCCGTCCCTCAGCACTGTCTCTGCCCTTCGCCGGTGTCTGCAAACCACAGAGGTGACAGCATGAAAAACGGCCAGACCCGGCCACGACTGCCCTGTGAGCCCCGACAAAGTTATGGGATGGATGGGGGGGGTTGGCCCGCTCTGCCTGTCGTGGGGGATAAAGGTAGCACGACGGTGGCTTGTTCCAAAGGAGCATCACTCCTGAAACTCTCATTACCCCTTCAGGAATAGCTGTGCTGTTAGGTCTGGAGCGGAGAGGCAGACACACGAAGCCTCATGTGTAACCAAATGCCGTCTATTTGAGCATCTGGGTGCAGATGGGTGCAGGTCAAAAAAGCATCCACCCTGAGGGAGGGGAAAGCCTTGGGTTTTATTGAGGGTTCCTGTGTGTGTTGGGGGGGTGGTGAGTACCTGGGCCAGAACAGCCGCTCCAATAAAATTTTTAAACAACCAATTTCTGGGACCCCAGCCTCTGTCTCATCCCGCAGAGATAAGGGATGTGGGTAGTTCCATCCTTATCAGAGGGGATAGGAATGCCAGCTTCTGCAGCTGTCTGTTAGATTTTACAACCTCCGGGGACTCTCCAGTGGCCATGGTTTTACAAGTCTACGTTTTGCATTTACCCCATTCTGTCTTGCATTCTGTATAGGAATACATACTTTCTGAGTTCCCACCTGGAAGAAACCTAACATATACCAGCAGCCCTTGTGGTGTAGTCCACATACCAGCATTGTCATCATTGTAAGGTTTTTCGGCGGTGGTGAAAAGAAAAGAGACACAGAAAGAGAAAGAGTAGGGGGGCCAAACCACGTGGCTTTATTATACACTCGTGGACGAGGTTCTGGGGCCCCAAGAGCAGGGGCCCCGGAAGTCGCCGCAGTTTGAAGGGGCTGAGGCCTTTTATACCCTTTGGGCGGGGCTAGTGGCGGGAAGAGCTGGGATTCTCTATTGTGACCTTGGAAGGTCGTGGAGAAATAGGAGGGGCTGGAGGTATTGTGGAATCCAGGAGCGAATCCAGGTGGAGATCTGGGTGTGGTTCCTCTCAGTGGGGCCTGGCAGTTTGTCCTTGGCAGGTCAGGTCACTAAGCGTTTTCTTTTTCCATCTAGGGAGGGGAGGGGGCCCCTGCCACCAGCCTTACAATCATTACCTGGAAACTTTTTAGAAACTAGTTGTGGGGCTCATCCTAGACATCTGGAATCAGAAGCCCTGGGCGTGGGGCCCACCTGTGTTCAACAAGCCCTCCAGGTGCATACTCAGGCTTCAGAACCACTGACCTGTGTACCACAAATCAGGGCAGATGGAGGCACTTCAAAAACAGGCAAAATCTGGATTAGTGTGCCGGAGATGGCGCTATTAAACAAACAAACAAACAGCAAACAAACAGTGGTGTGCGGGTGGTGCAATACAGTTTAGTGGTTCCAGGTGTGTCTTTAGAATCACAACTTGGCTTGATGGCTTCCTCATCTGTAAAACAAAGACAGTGTGTAACTAAATGCCCCAAGCTCAGTGGTGCAAGATAGCAGTCATTTTAGCACACTCATGGGCTTTGTGGGTCAGGACTTTGGACAGGGCCTGATGGAGTTGACTCTGGTTTAAAGCTCTTAATTGATGTTATTTGCAATTCTGTAATCTGGCAATACCTCATTCCATAAAACAGGGTGAGTGTTTGATGGGCTGAACAGAGGAGGGTGGTTTTGTAAATGGAAAAGAACTGAAGAAGACAGACACAGATAACAAAAAGCAGATTGGTTGTTTCAAAGTAAAGGTTAAAGCAGAAGGAACTGCCTTAGCACGCCAGCGAAACTGGCATGTTTGAGGGTTTGGCTATGGTCTCACTCTCCTGAGCTCTCGGAAGGTCAGATGCACAACTGAGTTGTGGCTTGGTGGCCTAGGCTTTCAGAGCGTCCTTTGGGTTTGGTCGGGGAGCCTGGGGCAGGAGCTCAGTCCACACCAGTGGCCGCCTGTACATTTTATTTGCCACTTCTGCTCCTGATGTCTGAGCTTGGACTCATCAGTCCGCTTCTCACTCCCAAGGCTGCGGCCTGGGTTGGGACAATTTGCAGGCAGGGCTCAGCTGGAACTGTGGCCCAAAGTCCCTTACAGGGCTTCTCACAGCATGGTGGCTGGGCCCAGGAAATGTCCTGCAACCAGAAGTCCAAGAGACCAACACAGAAACTATTAGGCCTGCTCTGCCCTGGGGAAGGTTACCTGACTGAGCCTGTTTCCTTATCAACGGGAGTTTGTGCACGCCCATCCCACAGCTGGCATTAGAATTAAATGAGAAAACACTTGCAAAGCACTCAGCACTTTCCTTAGCCCATTATAGACTCCCAATCACTGGCCATTTGTTATTTATTAATGAAGCATGTGAGGAGGCTGTGACTTTGAACTTGGCCTTCAGCAGTGCTAAGAGACCTACGCTTCCTCTGACATGGACCACATGGATTTGCATCTGATCAGCCTGGGACCGATGAGGAGCAGGCTTAGGAAGGTGTGCAGGTGGCCCAGAAGGCTCTCCGAGCATCCCAGGATCCTGCCAGTCCCAGAGCTCTGATCGCCAGGTGGGGTTATGGTGTCAGGGGCCCACTGGGCAGGGCAGGTGGAGTCTCCACTCCCTCAGGTGGCTTGCCTCTATTGAGTTTGTGTACAACTGCTTTGCATGAGGTTCTTTGGAAGGCCAAGTTCTGAGAGGGATTCTTGCCCACCTTTGACATTTGGCTCTCTTAGGCGGCCCAACAGATGTTTTTGCCCTGTGGCATAGAAACCCAAGCTGTCAGGAAGTTGCAAATGCAGAACCAGAAGATAATGACACATGTTGCTTTCAAAACGCACAACTAAGCTCTATTTTCTAAACCCCAAATTTTGAGTGTTTTTTTTTTAGTGTGTGTAGTTTTAAGGAAGGGTTTAAAAAAAAAAAACCAACAACTATTTTGAGCCAAGCATTGAGCGCTGAGAAATGTCTTGGATGCTTTCCAGAACATTAATCGCAGGAATAGAAGCCATTTTATTGTCACTCTCTGCTCTCCATGCCATGCCTCCAATAACTCAGACTGCAGGAACCTGCTGTGGCAACTTACTGCATGCCTTCGCTCATTTTTCTCAGCGATTAAAGTAGCTTTTCTACAGTGTTTCAAGGAACTCTAAATGAAGAC